CCGCACCGCCGCAATATGTTTCCACACAGTTGCCCGCGCCACCGAAAAGATTTCCACAAAGTTTTCCACGCCGCCACAAAGTTTTCCACAAAGTTTTCCGCAACGCCGAGAACGTTTTCCACACCGCGCGGTGCGACGTCCAATAATAGCTTAAAACGTGGGCGCCGCCACGTTTTAAGCAATTACGGGGCGGTGCCGCGAGCGATGTGGAAAACTTTTTCGGCGTTGCGGAAAACTTTTGTGGAAAACATTTGGGTGGTGTGGACAACTTTGTGGAAAACTTTTGGGTGGTGCGGAAAACTTTGTGGAAAACTTTTGGGTGGTGCGGAAAACTTTGTGGACAACATTTGCGGTGGTGTGGAAAACTTTGTGGGCAACTTTTTCGGTGGTGCGGACAGCTCCGTGGACAACTTTTGGGTGGCGTGAACACTTTGTGGGCACCTTTTTCGGTGGTGTGGAAAACTGCGTGGAACGCTGACAGTGTGGAAGTGTCGCGCCCGGTCGTGGATTCCTGGTGAGGGGCGTCCCACTTGTGGCCTCAGGCTGCGGGGCATCTCACGCGCTGCCGCTGCCGTCGCTACGAAGCTCTTCGGCTCAGTTTCGCTTCCAGCACTTGTCGGGCCGCATGGCGCCCAAACGCAAGCATCGGATCAATGGCCAACAACCCCCGAGAGTGCCTCTTAAACGGCCTGCCGTGGCCCGTAAGCGACCAGCCGCGGCCGACGGTGCGACCGCGGACGTTGGTAATCTTGGCCCGGGAGACCAGGCTTTGTTTGACGAACTGTTCGGAGGTGCGACGGTGGACTCTGAGTCCGTCCCAGATGGGCGCGATGCGGATGCCATGAGCTCACTGAGTCGCGCTTTGTCGGTAGAGCTCGAGACGCCCTTGGAGGATCACTACGGGGGAGACGATCACCTGGACCCCACAACAGGGTTCGAAGATGGCGTACCCTGGACCGTGCAGGCGCTGGTCCGGGTTACACCATACGAGCCTCGGTCAACGGGTACCAACCCTACACCCCCCACGAAGGTATTAGGTGTGATCATGCGTGTTCTTCCCGATCGGTGGCGATCTGGCCCTGGGCATCTGTGACTGGGCTGTCGCGTTCGCTCTCCTCGATCGGATCCCCCCCCAGTTGCGCGCCCTGCAGTCGACGGCCCCTTCAGGTCCTTGGACCCGCAATGGCAATATTCTCAGAGCGGGTCCTTCCATGACCACGGCGCAGACCAGATGGTCGCGAGGATAGAAACTTGGCAAGGAGGAGCAGCAGCATAGGTCGCAGCAGCAGCAGGAACAAGTCGCCAGGAGGGAGGGAGGTGGTGGATGTTGGAACTGCACATGCGCGATGTAGGGTAGATCAATTGATCCTTGCGAGGTCGCATGGATGCAGGAAGCGCTCGGCAGGATGCCCACGGAGGCGCGCATCGCCATCGCAGAGTACTTTGCGAGTGGCAATGACGGCTCCAAGTATACTCTCGGCACAGCATGCTCAGGAACCGACTCCACAGTATTGCTTGCGAAAGCATTCCAGCATCACATTGCTAGACAGGGCTTTAAGCATGAGTTCTCTTGCGAGAAAGATGCAGACAAACGGCTGTTTCTGCAGACGATGTTCGAAGGTGAGCTCAACGTTATTTACGAGAATGTGTCTTGCTTGAGGCACGGCTGCGGCCATGAAGCCTTAGATGTTCTCAGCCAGGAGCCCTGCGTGACAATCCTTGTAAACCACAAATCTAGGTGTGACATCAATAACTTTGGGGGGCAGCTCAAGGGGCAGGGGCTGAGGTGAGGGGCAGGGGTAGGAGGGGTGAGCGACGTCACATTAAACCATCAGCTCCCTGGGGGTTTGTGGTTGCGGCTGCCGCATCACACAGGAGTACGACCCGATACCCGAGGTTGCAGACATGCACGCAGGGGCACCGTGCACGGACATCAGTGCCCTCAACCCTGAGTCAGAAGCAAACCGAGCGGTGACCCGATAAGGGTGAAAGGGAATGGGGGGGATGGGGGGATAGGAGGGTCGCTGTCGCTGCCTCCCGGCCGCCACAGGTGATCAAGGATGCATCTAAACGCACCGGGGCTGTCTTCAACTGGCTTGCGATGTGGGCGCAGAAAGAGGCGCTGAAGGAGGATCTTGGACCTCTCCGCAGCCTCTTGCTCGAAAACGTGAAAGAAATGATCAAACCGCCCAGAGGCGTCGACCCTGACACGGGCGAGCCTTACTACACCAATCTCGAGTATTGGGCATGTGCCAATTCCGAGCCCATGAAATCGTGTGTCACAGCTAAATCACAGCTAAATATTTGTCACCGCGCATTACTGTAGCTAGACTTAGTGTCAACTCCAGAAGGTTACCATTGGTTTCTTTCGTCGACTATCTTAGCCTGGGCTTGGCTCGCTCGCTTTCCCGCGTTCCATGCGCCGTTCCCATCGAGAGAGGGGTAGCGTGCTATGCTGCTGCGATCTTCGATGCGGCCGGGTGGGTAATGATCTCCTTCATTCTTCGGCCTACAGATTTCGGAGTCCCTGTCAGTCGCCAGCGCATTTGGATGTTATGCATCCCCAAGTGGTTATTGCGCGATGCTGATGTGCCACAAAGGGCAGTGCTTGATTTTGCTCACTCTGTGATGGATTCAATGGTCACGCAATACCAACGAGACCTGGACGACTTCGTCCTGGAGCCCGGCCACTTAGCCATCCATGAGGAGGAGGTCAGGTGCCAGCAGCTCAGGTCCCAACGTCAGGCGAGGGAGGCAAAGCGTCAGGCGAAGAAGCCAGGAAAGGGTGGCACATCAGGACCTGGCTGGGTAAAGAAGAACAACACTTTGTTTTCAAAGAGGGGCCTGGATTGGGCTGAATCATCAGTTCCCTGCGATGAGATCTTCGACCGCTTCCCTGGGCTCGGCGCTTTGAGTGATCGGCATTTCGACACGCTCAAGCTGAACGGCGTGAGTTTCCCAGAGAGCACGAGGCGGAACATTGATGTCAGCCAGGAGACCCCCCCATGCTTTGCAGTCGTAAGATGTGTTTGCCTACCCACTCTCAATGCCACTGCATCAATATCTAGCTTTATCTCGCGGCTTGCCCTCTGCAGGCAACGGAGCGCTGCCACATCTCCAGCACGCACTACCAGATCGTGACCCCCAAGTGCATGACCTACCTCACGGACGTGTGCCGCCTCATCGTCGGGCAGGAGGGCATGGCGCAGCAGAGCATACATTTTGGAGTTCGGCATCACCGCCTCTCAAGGTTCGGGTCGAGGTCAGCCGACGGCCCTAACTTGGGGTGGGTAGCGGTGCCCTTCGTTCCATTGCTTTCCTCTCGTCGCTACGGCCGGGGGTGAGGCTTCGAGGTGGTCGAAGTGGGGAGGGTAAGAGGAGGGGGGCTGTTTTGGGGATGAAAGTAGAGCAAGCAAGCAAGCAAGCAAGCGAGCAATCGAGGAAGCACCGCCAAGGTTCTTGCTCGACCTGGCGGGAAATGCTTTTGAGGGGCATTGCAACGCAGCCGCGCTGCTCACGAGGCATGCCGTTGTAGCTTGGCTTTGGTCTCGCAAGATGCAGAACCGCCCTGCGCCCTCGCTGCCGATGGGCACCGAAGCCGAGGCCGTGCATGATGATTTCGATGACCTTCTCGCTTAGGGGCCCCAGTGCGCATGTTGAATTCTCGGCTGGGCAGGGGTCGGAGCTGGCAGCACGTAGTGATAGGTGGCCTGGGGTCGGCGTGGACGACCTATCAGACGTTGGTGCAACAGCCGAAGCGTCACCCTTTGCAGGACTGCTTTGGAAGGACAGGGTAGCTTATGGGAAGGGGGGGGTCCGAGAACGGTGACGGGAGCATGCTCGCGAGGCTACTGGGGCAGTCTGCTGCAGCTTCTTTGGAGGTGGCGCGTCGCGCACAGAAATTACTACGCTTCGAATCGTCAATTCCATCAGACTAGTGACAGGTTTCCCCGGGCTCATTTGTGAGCTTGCTTTGTTCCCAACGAGCGTCTCTTGGGCATAGGGGGGGGGTAGACCCAGACGGCGCCACTCATGGAACGCCGCCTTCGCCTCCCTACCCTCCTCTCCGCGTACTCATCGTCCTCCCCACCGCCTCCCTACCCCTCCTTCCCGCCTCCCTCGCACTCGCCGCCGACGCTTTCGCCGCTGCCGCCGCCGTCGTCAACAACTGCTGCTGCCGTTAGGGTTTATATGTGCCCGCGTCTCTTACGAGTGATACACCCGTGCTTTCACGCGCAACCTGGTACTTGACGTCTGCAACCCGCGGGCCTCATGCCGAAGTTCTGCAGCGCCTATTCGTCTGGTGCTCACATCTGTCCGCACTGGGGGACGAAGCAGTTCAAGGGCTGTTTGTTCATGAGCTGTGCAAATCATTCTTCAAAGTCTCGGAGGGTTCTTGTTCAGGGGTAGGCCCTCTAGGGTGGACTCTTCAGGATACTTTTTGGTCGGGGTGTTATGTTTTTTTTTGTATGGTGAGATGCTCACGATTGTGACCCGGCTCATTGGCCCATAGGTTCTGCAGGCGCAGCAAGGAGTACCCCAACCCGAATGCGAAGAAAAGGACTGAACATCCTGGTTTGCCAATGCGGTCGGATCGCCACAAGGAGTGTTTGCCCTGCGGTGCCAAGATGCGCCGCAAGAACCCCGATATTAAAACGGCGGCCGAGAAGAATGCCTACTCGGGTAAGCTCGCAGAGGACAATGATGCATACTATGAGCACATGCAGGCTTGAGGGGACTTGCTGGGCCCAGGTTGAGCATAGTTAGATTGGCGTGGCATTTCGTCGAAAGTAAATGGGGGTGCATGCGATGAGGAGTGCAATCCACGCCAGTGAAAGAGATTATAAAGAGAGAATATCATAGATATATATCTATAGCAAGAGAGAGAGAGAGAGAGAGAGGGGAGAGAAAGAGAGAGAGAGAGAGAGAGCAAGAGAGAGAGAGAGGGGGAGAGAGATGCTGTTTTTTTTTAGGTTGTCATACTTGAGCAACACAGAGCGATGGGTTGGGGCCAGGGCGTCGACGAGCAAGAAAAGATCATAAACGGAGAGATGCCGCGCAAATATGCGAAGAAGGACGCCCGGCCAACGCTCGGGCACCCACTCCAAATTCCGAGCTACGTCTCACTGGGAGGTAATTTGGGTGAAGGGGAGGGCGTGGACAGGGTGGCGGAGGGATGGAGTGGGATCGAGTGTCTGCGCCCTTCTAGGAGCACCTCGGGCTGGAGGCGGTCGCTCCCGATATGCAGGTGACGTCCGCCCTGAAGAAAGGCGTCGGCCTGAAGACGCTCAGGGGGATCTACTGGCCTGAGGACCTGTTCGTCTCCTGGTTCAAGCGGAAGCCCCAGAAGTGCGAGATCCAGACAGTGGACCTTGGCGACGGCCTTAAGCTCACCGGGCCAGTTCTTCCAAAATCGATGGGGCACCCAGAGGGCACCACGAAGATCTACGACTACGGTATGGCCGAGGCCACCCGGAACACAGTGCTTGCCGACAGCAATACAGCGTTGGACGGCCAAGAAGTTGATCGGCATTGGAAGGCTGCGTCTGCAGCGCACAAGCTCACTTCAGCGGAGGCCGAAGAGGAGGTTGACGGGGTTGTCAGCAAGTTCATGAAGCTCGCAGGGGGGCAGAAGAAAATGGGCCCCAAGGATGAATTTGACGACCTGTTCGACTTCGGCGGAGTTGAGGCTGGCCCCTCCGCACCCTCTAAGAACGGCGGCGGAGGTGGTGGCGGCGGAACTAGACGCGCATCAAATGGCGGCACCGCCAATACCACCAATACCGCTACTGTGGGTAACAAACGTGGGCGTGAGGGCGAGGCTAAGAAGGATGCCAAGGCACCCAAGTCTGTGACGACCAGCGAGAAGATCGTATTGGAGGCTAACCAGCTCATGCGGGATCTCGCCGATTTGGAGAAATTTACCCCTGCGCAAGGCAAGAACATCAAAGGCATGCTGGAAAAGATCAATGGGCGCCTCACCGTTCCCTTGATTAAAGAGTACACCTCAGGATCAACGGTGGGTCAAACTGAGGATACATTGGGCTTCAAAGTCTATGAGGAGCTGAGGGATATGCAGGACATCTTCTCCCTAACGGACTCTCTGGCCACGTGCTTGAGCGATAAGGACGTCGACCCGAAGACGGCGTACGCGAAGTGTATGAAGCTATTGCCGCATTCGTCTGGTAAGGTAACGCTTTCCCCCAAGATGCTGGAGACGATCCTGCAGAAGGAGGTCGACCTTGGTGCCAGCAAAAAGGATCCTGCCCGGGTGCTGGCCACCATTGATCAGCAGACAGAGCGGACCGAGGCAGGATCATTCCGAATGCCCCCCTCGGGAGGATGAGGATGAGGACGAGGAGGAGGAGGCTGTACAGGAGGAGGCGGAGGAGACATGCGAGCAAGGAGGGGGCATTCGGTGCCCTCCCTCTGCCCTCTCTCAGGGGGTCGTGAACCTGGCCATACTTCCCACTACTTCGCAGCGGGCTTTCCAGACCCATGCCGTGGCCAAGCTCTATTGGGACTTGCTGGACGATGACAAAGATACGGGCCCTGACACGCTGAGAGCATTCGACGAGGTCATGAGGACCCTGAGACGGGTTCCTTTGCCTGCCCCAGAGGAAGGTAAGCCTCCTCCCCCGCCAGAGAGTGACGTATTCGACGAGCTTCCCCGATTGCGGATCCTCTTGTATCCTTTCGAAAGCGATGTCAAACTCGAGGCGGTCAAGGAGGCAATAGAGTACTTCCGCAAAACGAAATCGGCCAAGCTGTACAGAGGCGTCATCTACTTCAACACTGGCATCAAAGTGATGAACGCTGCCGCCAACGCTACGGCCCAGAGGAAGGAAGACGATACCTATGAGCTGATGATCGCCAAGATCGGCACGGACGCGACAGAGCTGCCCGCCCTCGATCAGATGCAGACCTTAGAGGACGCGGCCAAGCATCTTATCAAATTTGAGGCCGTCTATGGCCGGCTGGCGGCCACGAAAGACTGCAGCCAGAAGTTCAAGAGCAAGCACGAGGCCATCTTTCAGCAGGTCTTGGGCACGCTGGGGGCTTACACCAAGCATGTGACCGACAAGATTTTCGCAAGCAACCAGGCGGCTTTCTCCTCAGCGGCCAGGTGGATGATCGCGAACGTCAAGCTTGCAGGTGCACAGGCTCACGATACCTTTATCGACCAAGATTCAGTGCGATCCGAGGGGAAACAGGTAATCTCGTCGGCAGTCGCCTCCTTACAGGCGCCTGACAAGCCTGTGGGTCTCTTGTCCGATGTCCCCGAGAAGCACATGGAGACAGAAATGTCTTGTTACACTGAAGTCAAGGATAGGGTGGGGGTCCAAGCAATCAGCTCTTCCCCTGGCATGGTCGGCCCCTGGTCCCCCCAGGCCCAAAACGAAGAGCTGGAGGGGGGGGATGGATTAGGCAGGCCCGGGCGGAGTCTGGCGCATTCCCCAGTCAGGATCTGCTCGAACTGGTCAGTTCAAAGCTCGACCTCTTGATGGCGGCCGATGGGAAGGTCCGTCTGGACGACAGCGAGTATATGAAGCTTTTCGAGCTTGTGAAGGAGCCAGGCGATTCGCTCTACAAGTACACGGATTTTAGAGAATGGGCCAAACACATTGATACTGTGTTCCTGTCCCAGTTCCAACAGACGGCCAAGACTGAGATCGTCATGAGTACCCCCGTGTTGTGGGAAAGCGTGGTGAACTTCGGCTTGGGCGCCCCGGGCAAGGACCGCGAGGATAGCATCGTGACGTACATGACTAGGTTCCCGAAGGAAGGGGTGGCTTCTTCAAGTTCCCCTTCAAGCACTTGTGCTAAGGCCAGAGGCTTTAGCACAAGGCCATGAAAGGAACTTGGATGAGACACCTGGCAAGGACTACAAGGACCCGCCAAATCTCCATGCGATGGCTGACACTGGGGACGGCCTGCTGAAAGTGATGCCTATCGACTGGACGCTTGTCATGGAGCAACATTGCACGCTTCAGACAATCAGGGAGGTCCCAGGGACACCAATTGTAGCATTCACATGCATCCACGAGGGGCCCCCTAGGGTACTCCCAGTGGCCCAGGAGGCTTATCAGGGGGGGGACACCTTGACGTGTTTCAAATGGCTTCTGATCCCGAGTTGCCTCTCTGGTCTGTTTGCTTCGGCCCGCGCATCATGAAGCTGGCTGGCGTGCTGAGCAAGATCGGTGGGGAGCTGCCTACTCCTTATGGTGTGAAAGAGGCCATGGCTGCTCTCGTCGACCTGGATACACTCAGCGACGAGCTCACTAATTTCAAGGCGGCTTCCGATGCCCTGGCTGAAGTCACGGACGAATCCTCACCAGTAAAGGACATTTATCCTAACAAGACGTCGCTGACAGTCATATCGGACAGCGTGCAGAACATCGCCAATGCCGTCTTTGGGCACAACGTGCAGGCCTTCGTGACGGCGATCACGGATAAGCTCAATGAGATCAGCGAACTACTCAAGCATCCTACGCTGGCAGACGTGACTGACGCAGTAGCGGCCCTCCCGAAGCTGGACGACACCGTATGCACGAGGTTCAAAGAAGTTGCTGGGGGGCAAGAGAGCGTGAGGCTGCACAAGCTATGCAAGGATGTTGAGGCGTTCAAGCCCCTGAAGGACTACTTCCTGACTATTTCCAGCCGCATCCCAGATGAGCTGATGACGCAGATTTTGGAGCCAGGCCAGGACACTTTCGATAATGAAATTTACCTCCGACCAGTCCCCAAGAGGAGCGCGACGAGGATGGCAGGAGTACGAGGAGTATGAGAAGGATGAAAAGAAACGGGAGGAGGAGGGGGGCAGAGAAGCCGAAGGAACGGGAGGAGGAGGAGGAGGAGGAGGAGGAGGAGGAGGAGGAGGAGGAGGAGGAGGAGGAGGGGGGGAAACATAATGAGCAAGTGGCTGGGAGGGGACGCCAGCCCAGGTGGGCCTGAATGTCAGCATGCCGCTGGCCGTGATCTCAACGTGCTCTTGGCGACCCTGCAAGTGCTGGGGCGCGAGCTCAAGCCGGGCGAGACGCAGGGTACCCATGCCCGCCGTGCACGCGCGATGAGAACGCAAAAGGGTGCCGTCTTGCCAGCCAACTTGACCGCGTATTCATCAGCTTCGCTGATCCCGCCCCCCAATCCCAACCAACCTCTTACGGGTGATTTAATGCCGTCCTGCTCTCAGCTATCTCTAGCAGTCAGGGATCACTCTCGCTTGTCGCACAATTGTGCAGGGCGGATGTGGATGAACTTGCTTCGCAGATGGAAGGGGGAGGTAAGGTGGCGCTAGACGCTGGTGCCAGTGATGCAGCCCCAGCGGAGGCGCAGGTGCAGGGCTCAAAGGGCGGTGGAGCTGGCGGCGGCTCAAAGGGCGCCAACGGCTCAAAGGGCGGTGGAGCCGCCGGCGGCTCAAAGGTCGGTGGAGCCGCCACCGCCTCAAAGGGCGCCAGTGGCTCAAAGGTTGGTGGAGGCGCCCGCACCTCAAAGGTCTCTGGCACTCAGAAACTACTGGAGGAGGCGTTTGGTCCACCAAGCATCGTTCCCGGTGCGGAGGCGAGTGGAGCTAAGCCTAAGAGTGGTAGGGTGCCCAGGAAGAGGGCGGCAGGCACGACGACCGGCGCGTAGGCGCGAGTTGGGTATCACTCGGTTTTCTGCATGCCTATGGTGAGGGAGTTGTTTATGTATTATATGTGCAGCTTCGCTCTCAATTAGTTGTAGCAGCAACTCGTTTGTGCTACATCGAGAAGCGGCCCGAGTTGCTCCGCCTCACCCCTCACTCGCCACTCCTTTAGTGCGTGTGCCTGGCGGGCTCCAGCGTTTGAACCAAACAGGGAACTTCAGGGAGCAGGGTTAGCAAGGATAGGAAGGTCAGGGTTCAGAGGTTCCTAGGCAATTAACTCCCCTACGAGGTGTGCTGTGTGCTGCCCGTCCATCTCCATGCTAAAGCTGCAGGTTACAGAGCTGCAGCAGTTGCCTGTAGCATCTTCTGTTCGGAGGGTTGCCTTGTGGGATTGTGCTGCTGAGCGAAGTAGTCGTTCATGCTACTACGGCGATCATGGAGCGAACGGGACAGCAAACCTTTTGTGTAGGTCTCTGGCGCGAGTGGAAAAAACTGAGGAGCCTCCGCCTAGTCATCCCTCTTCCCCCTCCTCCCCCTCCTCCCTCCTCCTACCCCGCCTCCTCCCTCCTCCTCCTCCTCCACCCTCCTCCCACCTCTTCCTCATTCCTCCTTCTTCTCGCCTTTTCCTGCCCCTACCGCTGCCGCTCATACTCCACTGTGCCATCACCGACGTCGTCGCCGTTTATCTTGCCGGGGCGGCTGACCTATGTATTGGGAAACAGCTAACGCACGCCTGGCTTTTCCAACGCATGGGGCATTTTCTCTATGATTCAATATCAGAAAGGGGTGCTCCACACCGCGGTGTTAGTCAGGAGAAATTCTCCGCATCCATAACACGAAAAAACTGTCCACACTCACGTTGGCATAACACCAAAAGTTTTCCACATCCATGTTGGCATAACACCAAAAGTTTTCCACAATCATGTTGTAATAACACCAAAAGTTTTCCACAATCATGTTGGCATAAAGCCACAAGTTTTCCACAACTACGTTGGCATAGCACCCAAAGTTTTCCACAATGGGCGAAATCCTCCGCCGAATATTAGTTTAAAAAACATGGTGAGCACCCTCCCAATATATATATATATATATATATATATTAAGAAATAGACCACGCATCCTAGAGTGCAATCGGCAACTACAAACTGTATCACAAGTGCAATCGTTCGCAAATTTTATTCTAGACGAGATCTCGCACGCGCGGCATTCAGGACTTTGCCCGACGAGGAGAAACATACCATGCCAGAAATTGACACGTTTCTGCCAAGATGTCGATCCGCATTTGAAGCCGAAGCTGCGTCATTAATGACAGCATTGCCATTTAGCTGCAACTCTCAGTTCCCTCGGGAAGTCGAGCCGGCAGCCTTAATGAGTAAACCAGCATACACATGAACTTTCGAAAGTCCTCGCGGATGTATTGGATCAGGGCTGGACCCCCTGGCTGGCGGCGCCAAGCATTCCCCGGGGACCTCCGACAGTTTACGTATCGAATGGCCTTCGGCCCATCCCGCCTCCGTGCCTGGGTTGTGGGTATGAAGCCTATTGGATGTTCGCTGGGCTCTCGTGAGAGGCTTCTCAAATGCCTCTTTGGAGGCAGTTTGGACGCCTCTTGGGGGCCGTTTGGGGGACTCTTGGGGCCTCGTTTGGGCCTCTTGGGGGCCTCTTGGGGCATCTTGGGGGCCTCTTGGGCGCCTCTTGGGGCCTCCTGGGCGCCTCTTGGGGCCTCCTAGGGGCTTCTTGGGGTGGAAGGCTCGGCTTTTCGGTTCGTGCTCCCTCTTTTGGACCCCTTTGGGGGCCGTCTTGGGGCCATCTTGGCCCGCTTTGGGCGCCTCTGGGGCTGTCTTGGTGCCCTCTTGGGCCGTTTGGGAGCCCCCTTTGGAGGCCTCTTGGGCTGTCTTGGGGCGGTCTTCGGGGCCTCGACGGCAGCGTCGGGGAGCCGAAAAGGTGCGAACGCCAAAATCTTTCAAACACCCCATTTACAAATCGATGATTCTGGCATCTTGGGGCCCTCCCTTTGGAAAAGCCTCCTGGAGGCTTCTTGGGGTGTCTTGGGGCCCTCTTGGGCCGTCTTGGGGCCACTTCCCGCGTCTTGGAGCGATCGTTCGGCGCCTCCGGTCGCTCTGAGGCCGCCTTGAGGCCCCGTGACTGCCCTCGTGGTCCGTCTGGGGGCCCTCGGGGGCCCAAGCAAGAGAGGTACCGCGGCAGGCCCCAGGGGGCACGCGCCGAGGCCAAGAAGACCCCGGCCCCCAGCCGACCCCGCAGGACCGAGGACCGAGGTTCAGGGGATTGGGCGAAGGGAGCGAGGAGTCGGAGGTTGATAGACCTCCTGCCCAGACGCGTCGATTAGTGAATTGGCCGTTTTCGGTTCGCGAGAGGGCGTCACGGCCGTTATGTTTGCGGGTCCAGGTCCATCGGTTTCGGTCTTCGGCCGTTTTCACTAAAGGGAGGTTTACTACAGGGAGTTTTGTCCACCGCCGAAGGAGACGCCCACTCCGTGCCCAGAGGCGGTTGCGAACATGCAATGTTACCTCCCCCCCAAAAAAACGACGCCAACGTCGGCCCCCAAACACGAAAGCAACCACATCAGCAACGCCGTTGGAGGTCTGGGAACCCGCAATGCCATGCTGAAGCATATCTGGGGAATTACCGTAACAGTCAACCCTTTGGGAGGCGCGTAATGGGGAGGCGTGAATGAGGGGGGCAGCGAGGGCTGCAGAAATTGAGCTGTTTAGGGCCCTCAAAGGAGCCCTTTCGGACCCTAGAAAGGGGCCCCTCAGGCCCGAAAAGGGCGCCTCTCTTTCCCTCCCCCACTTGTTGAACCCCCAGTAATCTGCGCCCATATGCTTCTGCGTCTTGCGGGACGAAGCAGCAGCAGCAGCAGCAGCAGCAGCAGCAGCAGCAGCAGCAGCAACGCCGAGAAGACGAGGCCTCGTACCGGCGGGAAGCGAGGGGGGGAAGTTAGAAGAAGAAGGCCTTCTCGGAAGGCTCGGCAGCACCCCCGGCCTTCTGAGAAGTTCTTTCAGCCTTCTCCGAGGACGCCAGAGACCGCTCGGAAGAGGCGAGTACTTCTGAGAAGCCCCGCCGCCTTCTGAGAACACCTCCTTCTCTCGCTTCCCCAATCATCTGTGCACGACACCGCTAGGGCGGGCCATTCTTCCAGACGACCTCGCCTGCCTCATGCGCCCAAGACCCCCTCGAGTAGTGAAAACATCAAGATGGGAGGTTTCTGCTACTTACGGCCTCCGCGGGACAGTATTGGGCCCCACCTCGCTCGCCGCCAGCCGCCGCCTCCCCGCGCGCCGCGCGCCGCCGCCAGGCGGTGATGCCCCGCGGCCCGCGGGAGACCCGCGGGAGGCCGGCCGCCCCGCGGCCAGGCTCACGGGGGGCGGCCGCCCCGAGGCAGGGGGCGGAGCGGTGCGCGCGAGGGCTCGGAAGGAACAAGGATCGAGCAGTGGGCGCGCGGTGGGCGCGCGGTGGGCGCGCGGTTGCCGGGGATCGAAGGAACAAGGATCAAGCAGTGGCGAAGCGTCCTGGCTCGCCTATAGCCCTACCAAACAATGTTCTAAGAACCTTTCGGGGTTTCCACGAAATGTTCTTAACATGTCTGGCTGGGACTGTTTTGTTTTAACGCATCGGGTTTATGTTCTAAGAACCTTGTTTTTGTTCTTAGAACATTTGGGGGTTCTAAGAACATTTCGTGGTAGGAGTATAGGAATGCCGGGACGGTCGGTCCCTGCTCAAAAGGAGCGGCATGACCTCCGAGGCGGGAATTTATCTATATCCACCGCCTGGAACGTCAGTTTTCGGAGCCTCGGCAGGCGGTGGACATGGACATATTCGGGCCCCCGTGGGCCGAAATATATCCATATCCACCGCCCGCTGGGGCACCGGGACGTCGGTTCCCAGGCGGTGGATATGGATCAAGCCCCGCTTCGCATGACCATAACTTTGTTCGGCACGAACGACATGGTTACGGCAAGAAGGGGCGCAATGCCCAGCAGCGGCTCCTGTTCATCGTGAGCAGGGCTCGCTGTCGGTGTTGCCGCGGCCTGCTGTACATTTGAGTGCCCGACA